AGGTCACCTTCTTCCTAAAGAAGCAGCTGATTGAAGCGTGTTGGTGTGGGCTGAGGTGCGAGTCTGGCACTGCAGCAGCACAGGATGGACTCTGCTGTTGTAAACACAGCAAWGAGCTGCAGAAATACCCGAGGATTCCCATGGGACACCCAGGACTGTGTAGGTTATACACGTTCTGCTCTCAGTTGTGCTGGCTGTCAGGGAGGATTCAGCCTGTGACATTCCCCAGGACTGTGCCAGAACACTCTGCAGGGACTGTGTTCAGCCTCTGTGCTTAGAGRGGAAAGCCAAGTGCTGCACAGGGCTTGAGGAAACAGCTTCTGACAYACAAGGCTTTGAAACTAACTGCAGAAGACAGTGGTGGAGGGTGGGGAAAGATGCTTTAATGAGGTTTCTGAGAATTTCAGTCTTTTGCTGCCTGACCTGCTCATGAAGATGCACAGAGAAACCACAGTGGTTAAAGCTGTGSTCCTGAAGACCTGTCAAGAAGCACAAGACCCTGAAAGGTGTGGAAGACCTTGCTGCTTTTTTACTTTTTATTGGCAGTGACTGTCCCAATTTGCCTTGCCAGGTTGCTCTGGGATACATTGGAATGTCAATAATGAACTGTTGCAGCAAGGGCTGAGCAGAGGGAGTTTTGCACAGCTCAGAGCCAGAGACCTTTTTGTCTTGAACAAGTAACAATGTGCAGCCGGATCTTAATTTAAGCTTTGCTAAAAAGGGCAGAAGTACCCAGTGCTCAGRAAGTGTGATGGAATACAGAGATGGATCATCAGATCTGACTGTGACAGCCCTGTTAGTTGAACACCTCTCCAAAGATGTCCTGAGAYCCATTGGTGTGTTGTCAGTCTTACTGTGTTCCTCCTGTATCTCACTGTGCCTGTGAGATCCTGCATTCCTCAACAGCAGCTCACACCACTTCCAGCCTGGAAATGTGTCAGGATTGCTGCTGGTAACCAGAGTAGAGCAAGAAAACCTCTTCCCAAAACAGAGCACCAAGGTGTTGGAAATGTGCAACAGCCATGGGGTGTTTCACTGTGAGTGAGTGTGTCAGTGGAGCAAATGGTATTGGTGAATTGTTATCCTGGCATTGACTAATGAAACAGTGGTGAAAAGTGGGAAATACCCATATTAGCTCGTGCTTCTCTGTATTAAATCATGCTTTAATCCTCAATAACTCCCATCTGTCCCCCTTCTCTATTCCCCCTTCTCTATTCCCCCTTCTCTATTCCCCCTTCTCTATTCCTCCTCTCCCCATTTTAAATTGATGCTGTCATATTGCCAACTGTGTACTTTGTCCACAAATGTAGAAAGGTTGATCTCAGTCTTCATGAAATGTTATAAACTAAACTGCTCTTAAGTTACTGTTTAGGTCTAGAAAATTCTAGGTTAACTCTAATATTTCGTTGATGATAATACAATATGCTTACAGAGAAAAAGAACACAATGTAGCCAGGAGCTGGTTTATGTGCAGTGTAACCTATTA